GAATATTGAGCCCCATTGTGGGATGATTGAGCCTCGAAAGAGGAATATTGAGCCCCATTGTGGGATGATTGAGCCTCGAAAGAGGAATATTGAGCATTGATGAATACTATATCTTGTAAAATCCTATCGCAAAATGACTGAAGCTCGAAAGAGGAATTGATTAAAAAAACTCTCAGACACCAATTTTTACCTTGAAATCAACAAAGACCTCACACCTACCTACCAGCAAACTGTCAAAGACACTATTAACTCTTTTATTTCTGATGGCAGTCTTCCAGCTACTGCCAACAATCTTATCATTAACACTCCCCGCACCTCTCATGTTTACTTTTTACCTAAAATTCACAAACCTAATGATCCTGGCCGTCCTATTGTATCAGCTTGTAGTTGTCCCACCGAACTTATTTCTAGCTTTCTTGACTCTCTTATGTCACCTATCGTTCAGACTCTACCCACCTACATTAAAGACACTAATCACGCCCTCAGGATTTTTAATGACTTTCATTTTCAAAATTCTCAATCCAAGTTTTTATTTACCATGGATGTTAAWTCTTTATATACCGTCATTCCTAATGATGAAGGTCTCAATGCTCTCAAACATTTTTTTGATCGTCGCACCGTTTTAGAACCTAGCACTCCTACTTTATTGCGTTTAGCTGAACTTGTTCTCACCCTTAATTGTTTTTCCTTTGGCGACCGCTTTTTTCGACAGATTAACGGTGTAGCTATGGGCACCAAAATGGGACCTAGCTATGCTAATTTATTTGTTGGCTACATCGAGCAACAGATTTTTGATCTCTATCCAGGCATTAAACCTGAACTTTTTGGTCGCTACATTGACGATTGTATTGGTGCTACCTCTTGTTCAAAACAAGACCTAGATTCTTTTATTCTCTATGTCAATTATTTTCACCCAGCTCTTGAATTCACTTGGACATTAGTGAAACTTCTGTCACATTTCTTGACATTTCTGTGAGTATTTCTGCTAATCATCTACCATACCACATACCACTATTCATTATAAGCCCACAGACTCTCATTCATATTTACTTTATTCCTCCTCACACCCTAAACACACTCTCAATTCTATTCCTTTTTCGCAATTCTTACGTTTGCGCCGACATTCGCAAGAAAGATTTATCTAAACCAGTTGCTCGGCACTTTAACTCTGCTAATCACTCTGAGCTTAATGCTATTGTTTTTGGTCTGTGTTTAACCCACGGCAGCAACAATCATCGTAAAACAAAAGAAATGCGCTTAATTCATTCACTTGGCACCGTTAATCCCCACGGGATGAACGAATTCTTCGCTTATAATTAAGTTATTTCTCACCTATAGTTGCTTTCGATCCTTTTGTTTTCCTTTGTTTTATGGCTTGCTTTTTTCTTATTGGTTTGTTTTCTTTCTCCTCTACTATATAAACATCTCTCTCACTCTTACTTTCTATTGACTCCGACGAAGGACTAACGTCCGAAACGTCAGTTCCTATTTTCACTACGGTGTAAAACTTATCAATCTACGATAACTGTTTGATTAAAAGAAAGTATGATTTACTGCCATTTAATACTATTTCTGTATGCTTCCACAGTTTTTATCTTCGTATTATATATACACTTAATTCAATAATCGTTGTCATCGCCTGATTCCGACATGGTAAGGTTGAACACAAAGAAGATTGAATCGGTCTCAACACTAAGGTCTATATGTTCTTGAGAATAAGAAGCAGAAACACAAGTCATTCCAGCTATTCTTGGATCTTGGAATGACCTATCTCCTGTGGCTTTTTGCCTACCGCCCGCCACCTTTGGAAGATGACAAAGTTATTTGAAATAGCTGTATACTATATCAACGAATATAAAACATAAAACGACATCATATCACCACATCAAAAACTCCTTAAATAGATATCTTCAACAAATTTCTATGAAACTATAAATTCGATTACTAGCAGTGCTACATGCGCTTTATAAGCGCTATTTTTTTAATAATAGAGTGACCACAGTAAATCCGTGAAACACTAAAAATAGTGCTAGTTAAAAAATAGAAAACAATGGAAATACTATTTAGTATTACTAAAGTTTCACGGATTTACTGTGGTCACTCTATCGCCATTCATCAAATTGAAATTTATGCATCATAGTGTTTTATCGATCTTTGGACGGTACAGCAATGTCAACTGCAAAATTCAAATCATGTGATGTTTACCTGATGTGCCATGAATAATTATTGACCATGATGAACACTGACCTTGTGTCACAGGGAGCCCGGCTTGGTGATGCCAAATCGGTAAAACGATCACGTTTCATATATTGATGACATTACATAATAATCGTAACTCAATACACCCATATACTGAAACGGTCACTACGTAATAGAACTTGTTATGCAATAGTGTTAGATGCCCCGTAACGCGTGCGTTACGTATTTGAATTTGAATTTATCACGGTATTAAGATACGCGTTACAAACACTGGTGTTCATCACCAAGCCGGGCTCCCTGTAGTGTTTGTTGTTTTTTTGGTTTAGCAACAACTTATATAGGCAGTATCAGTTTTGATTTTATTGAAATTTTGATTACACATCATTAACAATTACATGATTTTGGAGATTTTTGGAAATCAATATCAGTACGTGAGTTCCGTTTGCGATCAACTTTCCATTATCATCTTCCGTAGAAATTTCTCGATACATCTTCAAAACCTCGTTGAGCTCCTTTTGGTCGGCTGTTTGACGATAATTATTTTCGTGCGTGAAGAAGTCGAGCATCTGACGTCCTTCCTCAGAACTTTCATCGAAAACGCTTGTGATGTCAACCTTGAAAGGAACAACCACCTTTTCATACTTCATCGAATTCTTTTCCGCTATGCTTATAACATTTGCTGGCGGGTTGCTCCAAGGCTTTCTTTGGCATTCAGGGCGATGTTTATCTAAGATCAAACTTGTTAATGCTGTTAAATTGGAATTGTCTCCAAGCAGGCATACAATCAATCCTTTTTCTCCCAGTTCGTTGTGATAGCAATGCTTCAATGTAGACTCTATGTCCACATAGTATAGACTGTGTATGGCATGGACCAAGTCATACTGGTTTTGATCGTGTTTACTCTCTGCGTATCCTTCGAATGACATCAGTTTCAGATCAAACTTAACAGACCTTTGATTTGAAAGGCCTTTTGACCCGTCAGATGACCTTTCAATGGATTCTTTATATTGGCCAAGGAGCGCAGGATTTGGTTCAACTGCTGCATTCAGGATCTCAACTTCTTGCAACTGTTTGTCGCCTGCATTCAGATATTTTTCTAGCACAATCTTCAGCATTTCCTGATCAAAAAAACCATCTCCAGCCCCAATACTGAGTATGCTGAACCTCGGCTTGTCTTTGCCAAGTTGTAGCTTATGTAATTCTGCTGGAATTTTTTGCTGTAGACAACATTTATCTGCATCTCGTTGGCTTGATCTTTCGAGGTAACTCTTGTAGCATTGAGCATAGGCATCGTTATGAATGTCAACGTTCAAGTTCATTTTTGCGTTGTCTGGAGAGCTGTATTTGCCTTACAGTTGTGCAACAATTCCCTAGAAGTAACCGTCTGTGAAACAGCGCCAGAATTCTTGGTCCCGTGACCCGAAATAAGAAGCGATTTCTGATTGGCTTTCGCCCGGTCTATTACAAATAAAACCTAAATATGGGAGGGGAGGGGAAGGGAGGGGAGAGGAGAAAAGAGGAGGAGAGGGGAGGGGAGGGGGAGAGAGGGGAGGGAGGGGAGGAGAGGGTAGGGTAGGGGAGAGGAGATAATGTTCCCCATAATGAAAAAAAAAAAAAAAAAAAACAAAAAACAAACAAAAAAACTATGAAGTGAAAAATGAAATCGAAATGCATTACATCGTTTTCTTCGCACGAATCTTTGTTTTCGACCTTATTCCTCTCCCACTTAGGAATTTTGTCACATGTACACAACCCACGACCAGCCACCCCAGGGGCTAGTTTTGTTCTTGAAAAATTCTTCGACAAAGTTTTCCCACAGGAAGCCCATACAAGCTTTGAGAACTGAATGTAATTTTAACGAAAAAAATAATAATAAAAGCTAATATTTACTCACATGGAGTGTTGTTTACGTCGTCCTTGTACTTTGGTAGTGATTTCGAGCCATTTGTCTTCTTGTATAGAGGGGAAGAGAATTATTTAAAAAATTCGCTAAAATGGCTCGAAATCACTACTAAAGAACAAGGACGACGTAAATAACACTTCATGTGAGTAAATATTAGCTTTTATTATTATTCTTTTCGTTAAAATTGCATTCAGTTATCAAAGCTTGTATGGGCTTCCTGTGGTTTTCCATGGCCGACATTTTTGCGCTTTGAATTGCCCTATTTCTCTATGACACGTCACTGCTTGTTTATGTGGGGGATAGAATCGCCAAATCCAATAGAAAATTCAACGAAATTTGCTTCTAGCGAAACAGTTTAATCTAAAATGGCCTGGTTTTCAGATATAATATGTGTTAATATGTACTAAAAATATTCTGAGCGTTTGCTGGCTATTCTACTTCTCTTCGTGAATTGACACGGGTTTTAGAACAATTTTCGGTGAATTTGCGTTGAATTGACCCCCTCCGACGACCATGATCCTTTGCGTTTAAACAAAAGATTGTTTTGATGTGACGTCATAGTAAAATAGGGCAATTCCTAGTTAATTTTACTTGAAAAACGAAAGATAACTACAGATAATCCAGATTACTAGATAATTACAGATTATCAAGTTTAGTGAAATTTACCTTGGATATCTTTCATTAAAATCCAACGCCGTTGTCGCTGATAAAATTTAGACAGTATATTCTCAATTACTATTATCAGAAACTACCCTCATACGAGCCACCTCAGTGATGTACAATAAATCAATTTAATTTTCTTATCGATCGCTAAAGTATCTCGTGGTCACTTCCAGCGCCCCGCCGCTTATTAAATTTTTCACGTCTAAAACGGGGCGCTTATTCGGGGGAGACGTTTATTCGAGGGAGGCGCCTATTCAATGGGAGGAAACGCGTACACAACTGTCAAAGTTTGCTTTTTTTTAAGTATTAATGTTATACTACTACAACAGTACTGGTATTAGTATACTATGACGAGAAGAAGCAATTATGTTAATTTTCTATATATTAACGTCGTGTACATGTGTTCTATCAACTTTTATTCATTAAAATGTGTGCGATTTAGTTAGATTGTAGCATTATGCGCGATTCCTCGAAAAAGCACCCCCTTAAGGTGCGAGGCGCTTATTCGGGGAGGTGCTTATTCGAGTATATACGGTATGTGTAATATTTCGCCCCTTCCAACCATGTGTCATTCATTTGAGTATCAGTTCTTTGTTTTCCTGACATAGCAGACAAATGAACAAATGTTATCATGATAGCTTTGATATAATAATAACATCTTCTGGTTTTTGTTTATACATATTTTACAGGTTATAAATGAATTTATGTGTCTGAAATATAATAAAATACACAGGTGATTATTGAAAATCTCGCGCGCTGATTGGTCAAGAAACTCACACTGTCACACTATAATCACCTCGAGCGAAAATCCAAAATGGCGGCCAGCCGCTTCGTTGCTGTTCCCAAAAAAAAATGCCTTTTATCTTCTTTTTTTTCTTTTTTTGAAAGAATCACCTGTGTATTCATATTAAAACAATTATTTGCCTCAGGCTCAGTGATTATTGGGGAATATTTGCCTTGCCGCTGGAAGGCTCGCGTCTCGGTAAGTATTCCCCGATAATCACTTCGCCTTCGGCGAATAATTGTTAAATAATAATATAATATAGTTATATAGTAATCATAACAATATGATAATATAATAATTTAATAATATAATAATATAATAACATTTTCTGTTTTTTTTACATATTCTACAGGCTATAAATGAATTTATGTGTCTGAAATACAATAATATAATAGTATAATATTATAATATAGTAATCATAACAATATAATAATATAATAATTTAATAATTTAATGATTTGATTATATAATAATTTACTGTAATAATATGATAAGTGTAATAATAACATTTTCTGTTTGTTTGTTTTTTACAAAAATCTACAGGTTATCAATGAATTCATGTGTCCTAAACTAGAAACACAGCACCTAACAATTCCAAAGGGCAACAAGTGTCCCGATGTTAAAGGATTACAGGTAAAAACAGGACTTTCTTTTCTTATGTGACCTTTAATTGTATTTTTGGCGAGAACGTTTGACTAGCAGATGCTGAAGCAGAATTTCATGACTGAAAAATCAGTTCATTTGTAATGTTTTATTATTATTCGTAGGAGTTTTGTTTGAATTATTTGGAGTGGCCTGAAGACTACACTACAGAAAAGGTATAGCATTTCTAGTTTTATGTATTCATCTATACTTGATACCAATTAGTAATGGATCCACTTTGGGAATCAAGCAATAACGACCCCACGCACATCCCTTCCACGGTAAGACGAGTGGTGTCCTCCGCGCGCTTCCACAGAAATCCCAACCAAAACACTCGTCTTTACTGAGTCTGGAGGGAAAAGTGGGACCACTCGCAGTCTATGAGTGCATGCGCGCACGTGCTGTGTGTTTTCATAATAGACGTGCTCCCAACCAATCAGAACACGAAATTTATAACAGTTAGTATATGTAATAAGACTCCATGCTGTCCAATTAAGAAATAATTGGACGAGGAAAATTCCGAGGACTGACAAAATTGGATGAGGCCGTAGGCCGAGTCCAATTTGGCAGTCAGAGGAATTTTTCGATTCTAATTATTTCTTAATTGGACAGCATGAAATCCCATTACCTGTTAATCATATAGCTGCCTAATTAATCTTGTATCAGCAAGACCTGTCCAATTAAGAAAATAATTGGACAGTTACCTATATGGGATTAATGAGAAGCTGTATAATTATTTTATAAAATACCCCACATTCTTTTTGCAGATTTTACCTCTTGTGACCTACTGGCAGATGGAAAAGGGGATGTCTGTTAAACATTGTAACCAAAGATGCGTTGTTACTCCTGAAAGGTAAATGCGAAAAGAACAACAATAGCAATATAGATAACACCAATTATAAACTATGACCACAACAATAGCAGAACCAATAGCAACAGCAGTATTAGCAACACGTAACAGCAACAACAACAACATTTACAAACATCAATAACAAACAAAAGCAACAGAAAGAAGAACCTTGCAACTTGAGGGTCCCTTCTCAAAAATCAAATTCTAAATTCCAAGTTAATCTTCAATAGTTATTGCTATTTAACAGTTAGACCCGCAACCGGATTGGTTGCGAGTCAAGAGGTGAGAGGTCTAATTGTTTTAGTATAAAGCTACAAATTTGTCAATTAAATAGTTGTTTTGGTTTTCAAAACCGTTACTTTTCGCTAATAGTGGTATATCACTAATACACTACTGGTACTCAGCCAATCAGTGCAGAATTTGTGATAGACCATAAGAAGGTTTAGACTAATAAGTGGTCTACCCTCGCTATACAAGGGCGATTTATTTATTTATTGAAAAACCTTCAATTTATGGCTTTCAGAATTGTCAAGGCTAGAGTTCAGAACTGGATCGAATGTTATGAAGTCCTTTGGAAGAATAATGACATTGGGGATGCCTGTCAATCAACCTTCGTTACCATAGAAACAAGATCGGTGAGAATGCAGTATTGCACTCCTTATTTGATGGGAATGGGATTAGAAAAAAAACTAGTCAATTGAACCTCCCGATCCCTTGGACAGGGTGAGGATTTAACGCGGCGAGACCGGGAATTTATGTTTCCTACTCATAAGATAACCATTCTTGTGGGAAGACATTTCAATGTTACGGCATGTACCGTGTTCGTGCTGTAAGTCAGTGCCATATGTTTCCCACTCATACGATAACCATTCTTATGGGAAGACATTTCAATGTTACGGCATATCGTACCGTGTAAGTGCTGTAAGTCAGGGTCGTATGTTTCCCACTCATACGATAACCATTCTTATGGGAAGACATTTCAATGTTACAGCATGTACCGTGTTCGTGCTGTAAGTCAGTACCGTATGTTTCCCACTCATACGATTACCATACTCATATGGGAAGCAATTTCAATGTCTCAACTTGTCGGACCGTGTACCGTGTAAGTTATAGCACCATACGTTCCCCCTCATACAAAAACCGCTCTAATAGACAAGTGATTGCAAATAATCGGGTTTTTTTGTTGTTTTTGTTTTTGTTTTG